CCCATTCCTAGGAATCCATCCTAAAAAGAGGCTCAAATGTGTACAGAAATATATGAATAAGGATGTCCACTGCAGCATATTATGTACTTGCCACAAACTTTAAATAACTGAAATGTGTTATCAGTGGGGTGTGACCATTTAATTAAGCAACTACTACAAAGCCATGAGAAAGAATGAGACAACTATCCTTGTGACTTTCCTTTGAAGTTGTTTGAAAACAAAAAGTTACCCCCCCCAAAAGATGCGTCATGACAAATTAAGATTTTCCTCAAGAATACAGTGGATAATGCAGTGTTAGGAGGTTTATCAATGTACTTTAACTCACGACTGGAGGAAGAAAACAGGAATGGGGCAGACCTAGAAGCACTGGCTTGGGAAGCTGCCCACCCTATGAGTGGAAAAAAACCAAGTTGCACAACAGCAAGTATGGTGCTACTCACATTCTTGGAATAAGAGGAAAAGAAAAACAAAAAATAACAATAACAACAACAACTCAGAGAGAAAGAACCAAGTTAGCTACATGACTTTGGGCAAATCGCTTTAACGTCTTTGTGCCTCAGTTTTCCCATCAGTAAAATGGAAACAATAAAGCACTTGCCTCACATGGTTGTTAGGAGAAGTAACGAGGTAATCCTTGAAAAAGTGTTTAACACAGTGTCTGACACATAATAAGTGCTCAAAAAATGTTATCTGTTATCATTGTTTTGTCAAAGAAAACCCGGGGGCCAAAACAATTAGAAAAGAAAAGAAATTTGCTTGAAGAGAAATACAAGGGAGTCCAGCTTCCAAATGACCAGCCAGCCAAGTAGAAAGTCCAGCATAAGTATCTAAAGGAAACAAATGCAAAATTGCCAGGGTTACCAAGTTTTACATTACTCTGTTCATGATTTAAAGGAAAAAAAAAAGCAGAACAGTATCCTTCTCAAGAGATTACAGTATCCACGAAAGAAGTGACCTGTAAATTTAGGCATCCACATCCCAAAAGGCAGAGAAGAATTTGTCTCTGCCGAGATTTATGGGAAATACTCAAGGTTTCAGCATTGGAGGGATACAGCTCGCCAGACTACCCTGCTGTTCTCAGTTTGTTCTTGGTTTATCTCAGGATACAAGTTGCTGTTTCTCGTAACTGTGGTACGTGATGGGCTTAGTCATAATGAAAGCAGGACAAAGTGTCAGTTTTCCTTTCATATTATTCTTGGAGGAGGAAAAAAATCTAGAAGCAAATGCACCACACTGCTAACAACAGTTACCTTTGGGAAACAGAACTGGGAGAAGAGCTAACTATTTACTGTATGTGTTTCTGTAGCATTTGAATGCTTTACATGTTCACCAATTACATTCATAATTTGTGAAAGAGTGAATAAGATCATACAAATTTAAAATACCGAATCCATCCCATGTCTCTTTCTAGTTCTTCCACGGCACATGGGATAGTTTGCTTTTTAAGCTCTTCAGGAAAAGATTTATCAACCATGCATTTTCTCTAAAAGCCATTTCTGCCACTTCAGTCTGTGGCATCTGCCAAGAGACCCCTTAATACGCAGTTCCAGTTGGGAGAGGAAAGAATTACAGCCAGTGAATTGCATAGGGGGGGATCAATCTCCTCCCGCTTCATTGTTAGATCTCCACCCTGAAGCCCGAGCCCCCAGCCAATGAAGTCCATCAGAGTGAAATCTGAGAATTCTAAAGTGTCCCACCCTCATCTCCCCCCATATCCTTGTATTTCCCCGCAGACTTACCCGTGGGCAGCCCCTTCTCCAAGCACCAGAGGAGGAAATAAATTCATCAGAGGACTCGGGGGGATAGAAGAGTCCACAGATATTGACAGAGGCTTCTTACCTGTTTTGAAGCTAACCGTGGACCCACTCCTGGGATGACTCCACATCTCCCTGAGGAGCCCCAGAGAGATGGTGAATTGCAGAGAGGAGGGTCACATACAAGATGCCAGACTGGCAACAGGTGGTGAAGGCTGGGCAGGATCTGCCCATGGTTTAACACCTGAGTCCCCCTTAGCCAGGTCACCAGCATGGGACCTGCAGCAGCCAACTCAAGGGGCCCAGGTAGCCCCCATCTCACCTGTGCTCACGGGCAATGCACAGGTGGGAGTGTACCTGTCAGTGTGGCACACATTAGCTGTTCCTTCCCACCGTTGTCACTGCTGCTGAGAAAATGAGACTGTTCCTTCATCCAAACAACCAGGAGCTGACCATGTATGGGGGGTGGTGTGGGAGGTGTGTGTGTTGGGGGGAGTCTCAATTTTTCTCTGGTTACAGCAACACAAGTACAGCACCATGACTAATCTCAGAACCGGGTTTTCCCAAGTAACACAGCAGAATAATCAATTCCTCAGGAGAGTCTGAGTCTGCATGATTTTAAGCTGAGTATAAGCCCACAACTTAGGGTTCTGGGATTCTATGTACTGACTTTGTGACAACTCTGAGACAGAGTTTCCTAAACTGGGGTCTCTAGATTCTGCTCTAGCAAGAGGTTGAGTCTGATCACCTATAACTCTTAATAAGTAGTCCAGATGATTCTGTTGCACCCCAAGGGTCTCAGCTTGAGAGGAAGAACAAGACAGGTGGTGGCATTTCACAACAAAAGCTAACTTTCATTGTTCATTTACTATGTCCTGGGCCAGTGCTAACCACTTTGCACACGTTAACTCATTGGCTTCTCCAATAGGAAGGAGGTGTTACTACTATTGCCCCCAGTTTACAGATGAGTATACTGAGGCTTAAAAGCTTGATAACTTGCTCCAACTCTCACAGCTGATAAGATGCAGAGTTTGAGTTCAGATCTCTCTGCATTTAGAGCCCATGCTCTGTGACACACTTCGTTGGGTTAACTCTTAAGATGATGAGCATGTTGTCCCTGCAGGACGTTAAGGATAGCTGCTTAGTCCAAAGGTTTTCAATCCTGAGAAGCGTTTAAAAAAATATTGTGGCAACAAATCAGTGACCATCGATGGATGGACCAACAAAATGGATAGAGAAACAAAATATGATTATAACCCATACAGTGGAATATCATTCAGCCTTAAAAAGGAAAGAAACTCTGACACCAGTGACAACACAGATGAACCTTGAGGACATTATGCAAATGGAAATAAGCCAGACACAAAGAGACAGATATTGTATGATTCCACTCATGTCAGGTCCCTTGGGTTGTCAAATCTATAGAGACAGAAAGTAGAATGGTGGTTGCCAGGGCCTGGGTGGGGGCAGGAAGAATGCGGATTTTAGTGTTTGACGGGGACAGAGTTGGAGTCTGAGATGGTGGATGGTGGTGATGGCTGAGCAACAACGTGAATCTACCAAGTGCCACTGAATTGTGCATTCAAAACGTTAATATGGTAAATTTTATGTTATGCATATTTTACCACAATTTAAAAAAAAACTGGTATCTGGTTCCCACAACAGTTAAATCAGTCTCTCCAGGACAGGACCCAACAATCTATTTTTTAAATTATATGTATGTATTTTTTAATTATATATATAATTTTATATATTTATATATAAGTGTGTATATGTGTGTGTGTGTGTGTGTGTATAAAATCCAGGTGTTTCTAATGGGCACACAGGGTTGAGAACTCCAGAGTTCAGAGCTCGGATTCTGGAGCGCACCCCGCCGGCAGTCCCTGGCCTTGTTGCAGGTTCCCACTCTGCCATTCACTCAAGAGGCCTGAAAGCAAGACTCATTGGGAAGGCAAGTCTCCCAGACTGTTGCTGACTAAGGTGGCCTGGGTCCAAGAATTAACGGAAGGTCCCAGAAGTAGAAAGCTCTGCAGTATACGGGGTGTTTCACTGGCCAGTACTTGTCTGCAGGTGCCTCATCCCCTTACATGAAGAGAAGTGGTTATTACTCCAGGGTTGTGATTTCATGATCAAGAGTGGAGGTTCCCACTGAAACGTATGCTTCGCGGCACGGGTCAGGTCACTCGGTCCATGACTTGTAAATGCGTGTTTCCAGTCTTCTTTGGGCTGCTGCACAACTTCTGGGGAATGATCAGCAGTGAGAGTTAGGATGAAGAGGGTTTGTTATAAGAGAGAAGGGCGTCCGGCCTGCAGTTCAGCAGCCGGCGCTCCCCGAGCTCCTTCGCTGTGCCTGGGACTCGACGATGCCCTCTGTGAACTCCCATTCCATAGGGAAATGGACACATTCATTCAGCTAAAACACATTTCTCCAGCTCCTACACTGAACCAGACCCCGCTCAAAGGGGCGCAGAATCAGCAGGGTTGCTCTGCTGAACCCAGGGACAGCGTTGACGTTGCTGGGTCACGGGGAAGCCTGCGGGGAACTCGGAGGAGAAGCCAGAGTGGCTAGGATGCTGGGGATGAGTTGCTACTATTTACCAAGCAGTACAGAAGTGTTCCAATATTTTAACAGCTGGGAAAGCTGTATGAGCAGGTGCCAGATGACTGGCAGCTTGGCTTGGGCGTAGAGGTGAACAGTTCAGCCAAGGTCCCTGACCGTCTGCTGGAGGAGTAGGCAATCTTTTTCTGTCATGGACCAAATAGCAAATATTTTAGTGCTTGTTAGCAATGTGCTGTCTGTCCCAGCTACTCAACTCTGTTATTGTGGCATAAGAGCAGCTACAGACAATAGTAAATAAATGGGTGTGACTGTGTTCCAAACAAACTTTATTTACAAAAATAGCAGGCGGGATTTGGCCATAGTCTGCAAAGTGCTTGTTCTAGAGGATGAGACAGACATACCCATTCATCCTTTCACTGTACAAATATTTATCACATGTCTTCTACATGACAGATATTGTACTGGGCGGTGGATGATGGTCCCTGCCCATGTAGCACTTATACTCTGATGGGTGTAACCAAATCAGACTTTTCAATTTGCTACAATAAACTTTAAAATGAAAGTAACCAGGAAATACCGAAGGGGACGTTAACTCAGACAGGAAGTTCAGGGAAGGCTTCCTGGAGAAGGTGGTAACCATGTCACCTGCTCAGATCAGCCTGAGAAGCACATATCTTTCCTTGCAGGATGTTTGTCATCACCAGCTCTTCCTTTGTGTCCCCCAGTCTCTGAACAGCTACAACGACGGAGACATTGAAGGAGCCAGGCGTCTCGGGAGGAATGCCAAGTGGGTGGCCGTCGCCTCCATCATCATTGGCCTTCTCATCATCGCTATTTCTTGTGCAGTTCACTTCACACGGAAGTAAGTAGGCTTTCTGAATCCCTCCCGACTTAAAATGCCTTTTCTTGAATGCCCACTGGAGTCAGTTAGGATGGTTAGATTGTGATCCAGTAACAATCTCAAACAAAAGAGTCCTCATGTTTTCTTCACTGCTGTTACATGGGCCATGCAGGTTTGTGGAAGCGCTCTCCTCCACACCGTCACTCAGGGTCTGGGCTCTCCCAAGCTTTGCCATCTTGTTGCTGTTCTATCAAAACAGACGGCAGCAAACTTTTCCTATAAGGAGCCAGAAAGTAAATATTTTAGGCCACTGTCACCACCTCAGTAGCAACTACTTAACTCTGCCATTATGGTAATACCCACTTAATAACACTGTTGTGAAGGTTCATTAGATGATGCCTAGAATGTGTATAGGTTGGTATCTGTTCCTTAGTTGTGCACAAAAAACACAAACCACGTGTTAATTCTGTTATTACTATTATTACCAATATGACTGGGGAAGGACCTAAGAATTTAAGATGCTTTGTACTCATGAGCCAAACTCAAAGGATGGTGTTCCAGGAGAATGAGGCTAAGTCTTGGCCCAACTCCTGGGGACTTGTGAAAATACATACTGCTCAGATCGGTGTTTGAGCTAAGTGGTTATAAACATAGCAGCTGACACCAACATAGAACTTGCCATGCGCCAGGTTCTCTTCTAAGCTCTTACATGCATTAATCCTCATTGAATCCTCACAGTAACCCCAAGAAGCAGGTGCCCCCATTTTTGCAGATGAAGAAACTGAGGCTCAGAGAAGTGAAGTGGCTTGCTTGGTGTCTCATAGCTCATTAGTGGTAAAGGCAGGGGTTTAAGCATGGGATGGTCAGGCTCTGGAAAATGTTCTTAACCACAGTACCACACAGCCTCTAAGCCAACATGTCCTTTCCATGACACCCAATAACAAAGGCCAGGAGGTGGCACCCACCTGTCACTAACTCCAGAATTACCTCTCTGGTGCTGGGGTGGTGAGGGTTCAACTTACCAAAAAAATGTGATGAGTTAGGGCCAAGGGTAACTAAATTAACAGGCTGCAGGAGTTAGGCAGGGAACACAGATGCAATGAACAGCTTGGTTGTGGGACAATAGGGAGCAGTGGGGACTGTGGCGAGAGTGGTGAGCACAGTTTAAAAGGAGCAGCTGCCGCTCTGCTCCAGCTACTTGCTGCCACTTAGAACACAGACCTCATGGGCCCATTTTTCAAAAGACACTGGAAAGCTAGGTCTTTATTTTATATCTCCTGATTTTCAGACATGACAATCAATTCACATTGCTACTAATGTTTCTCATCTGAAGAGGAAGCACTGATGTTTCTATGCTTGTGATTGAGGTTTTGTTAGTAGCAATAAAGGACAGGCAGGAAGGTCACCTCTCCACCTCTTCTCCCTGAGGGGAAGTGTTTCGCAGTGGTCAGAGCCTGGCCCTCAGCAGCAGTTTTGCCAGGATTCAAATCCTAGCTTCACTACCCAGATTTCCCTGGCTTGTTATTAAACTCCCTGTGCCTCAATTTCCCTCTCTATAAAATGAGGATGGAATTAGTTCCTCATCTGTGTGGCCAGGTTCCTTTTACATACCTTTCCTTCCTTGTTCTCAAAGAGAACAAAAAATGTTTTCCAGAGTTAGAATCCCGTGGAGAAGCTCGAATTTAAAGGCTTTGTCGTGTGTGTGTGTGTGTGTAAGAGAGAGCAAGAAACTAGCCCTTAGTGAATGAAATCAATTTTATCTTCCGTGAAGACTAATAAAAAGGCCAGTTTCTCGGTAATCCTTTGAAATAAAATTTCCCAGCTTGGGTTCCTGGAGGAATTGAATAGCAGTGTGGAATTACTAAGGCAGAAGCCCCCAGACTTGGGGCTGCGGAAGTTACCTGGAGGGGGTTTAAAAGAAATTGACCTCGGAGCCCTGCCTCGAAGGATTCCAACCCCCTACGTCAGAAGTGAGGCCCAAGAGTCTGCATGTTCAAGCTCCCCAGCCTGAGGCTCCGGTGATCAGAAGACCACTGCGCCAAACTTCCTCCCTCCCAAATCTAAAAGGAAGGAGTCACTAACAGTAGCCGGCTGTTAACAGAGTGGTCAGTTTTCATTGACATCAGCAAACTCGTCATTCTGATGTGTTACATCTAACTCAGGGCCAAGGAGGGGAGTCAAGTTACCGCCTCCGAGATGTACCCACAGGAAGGCGCTTTTGTAACAATCTAAGAGGCAGCAAAAACTTCTTGGAGGGGCTGGGAAAAATCTGACTTTGGGGAAGACCTAGGCCAGAGATAAGACCAAAAGCTTTGAATATGTGAGTTTTCTGGGTTTCATCCAAAAAAACTGCCTGAAGTAAACTATTGCCTTTTGAAAATTCTGAAGTCCTGCCTTTAAAAAGAAATTCCTTATCCCTATTAAGAAAAATGTAATTAATCTCTTCTCCCTCAAATGACTGATATCTCAGATAGTTCACTTTCTTGAAATAGACTGAGGCAATGAGAGTCATTACCCAGACTCATAAAAAGTATCTCATTCATCTTAATTTTTTTCCTGCCAGTTTTGAGATATAATTGACATAGAGCACTGCATAAGTTTAAGGTATATAGTATAATGATTTGACTTACGTACATCATGAAATGATTGTCACATAAGTTTAGTGAACATCTTATCAGCTCACACAGATACAAAATTAAATAGAAAAAAATATTTTTCCTCGTGATGAGAAGTCTTAGGGTTTGCTCTCTTAACCACTTTTGCATATAACATACCCCAGTGTTCACTATATTTATCACATGGTACATTACACGCCAAGTACTTGTTTATCTTATAACTAGACGTTTGTACTTTAGACCACCTTCATCCAGTTCGCCCTCCCCGCCAGTCTCCACCTCTGCTAACCACAAATCTGATCTCTTCTTCTGTCATTCATTCTAATTTTACAGGCTATCTGTGTAAGCCGCATCGTTGTTGGAGCAAAGTAATAGTTTCATGACATCAAATCCATTAGAACTGGGAATCACTGAACTAAAATATTCAACAGTTTTAGATAGGATGCTGAGCTGGCAGAAGAGAAGTTCTCTGGTCCAAACGGAATCAGAAAATTGCAGTCTCTTGGCGTTATAAAGTTCCCTGCCCTCAACTTACTAGGGAAGGTGCAGAAATGAATCACAGAGGTGAAACATTTAAATATTGCAGCCGTCTATTTATGGATCCTGATCCTTCACATGCCCAGCCTAAGTCAACATATCTGCAGGCTTTTACTTTCTGCTGATGCCTGAGGACTGAGGCTAGATTAGGTTCTTCTAGGGGTGTTTCACAGACCGCAGGTCTCAGAGCCACCTGTGACAGATTCAGCTGGGATGCTGGTGAAAATGCAGATTCCAGAACCCGAGTGGCCCTGAAATATGCATTATCAGCACTGCCAATCTCCCTGAAATAGTTCTAAGTATTCTAACATTGTAGAAACACTATACTAAGGCTTTGTGTTACGTGGAGAACATTTTTACCTAGGTGGACATATGCCACAAAATAGGACTTTTTCTCATTCCTAAGCTGCCTGGAAGAAGCTTCAGTGATGGCTGCTTCCCCAGCCCTACTCCCCAGAAAGTTTACACACACACCCCCAGCTTTCCTCTTCCCCCTCTCCTTGTGATCAGGCTCGTGGTCATATCACTGATGCTTGACTGAATTCAGTGGAAATTCCGTAGCAGCAAAACCAGCTGTGACCAAACTTGGATGTCAGGGAGACAAGTGTTGACTACCACAAATATGAGAAATGACATCAGTGGAATTTCATCTCACTCAGGGTTGAAGTTACAATGTCAGGGCATAAGGTGAGCTTTGAGTATAATCAAAATTAATCTTAGAAGCATCCATAGGAGGGTGCCCTATTAGAGACTCACCCACCATCTCTTGATCAGCCCAGCGTAGCCAGTGATCCATCCAGTGTTGGAAGAGGTGATGTTCCACCCTCTGTGCTCAGCAGGAGTCATACACCCATCCATGCTCATAAGCACTGAGTGACCTGGTGGCCAGAATCACCATTTAAACAGCTGCTCCTGTCTTTTTGAGGAACAAAAAGTTGGTTTCTATCAGTTAGATGCACATACTTTGCAGTTCACTGAGCTTACATCTCTGGGTGGTCTTATAGGTACCGAAACAGCCAGACACAACCCCACCATGTATTTAAAAAGCTTGTTCATCATTCTTAGGAATAAGAGCTTTCTTGCTTCATGGTTTCCATTAAGGAAGAACTTGACTTCTAAGGTTAAGGGTCCCAGACTGTCTCCCATTAGTAGGTTCTGAGTTAGCAGATACTAACCCATCCTGTACTGCAAAGCTTCTGTCTTACTAGTAGAGTGGAATGAATTCTTTTCTGGCCTCAAAATATCCTCCCCTTGCATTAGAATTGGAAATAAGCATATATACCAGGGCAAATAAGAAGCAAGAAATTGGCCTCCTTGCGAAAACGTAAGCACAGATCTGTCTTCTTCCCTGTATTACTGGCTGGTGTAAGGCTTCCCGGGCATTGTTTTGCACAGATATGTCAGAGAATTTTTGTGATCCCATGAAAAAATGGGGAATGTAACCTATTTCCAGAAGGTCAGGAGGGCCTTTCTTCATTGGTTTGAGTAAGTTGAGGTAAAGAAAAGTCATCAACAATGGGAATATTTTTGCTTTGAAAAGGATGTAAACTGATGAGACATTAACAAGGAAATCAGAATAAGCATGAAAAAGATGTTCAACTTCTCCAGTAATCAGGGCAACGCAAATCAAAGCGACAATGAAATACTATGTATGTATGTGTGTATATATATATGAATACATCAATACTATAATATAGACTAAAGTATGAAATTTTATATGCCAGATTGAAACATGGATAATAAGAACATGGATAGGTTGACGAGAGCGTGAAGCATTGGATACCACACTGTTGGTGGAACGGTCTTTGGGAGGTCAATTTGGATGTTCTCATTAAACTTTAAAATCTGTGTGCCTGCCCAGTTCTACTTTTCAGTGTCACAAAAAGGCATGTAAAACAGTAATTCTCCTCCCTACACATTAAAACCACCAATGCCCAGGGCCCACCCTGGACCAGTTAAAATAAAATCTCCGGTGATAGGGCCAAGCTTTGGGAGGTTTTAGGGCCCTCCACATGGTTCTAAGATGCAGCCCGGGATGAGAACCAAGGATGTACAGTGATGTTCGTTGAAGCTCTGTTTGAAAGAGAAGAAACCTTGAAACCACCTAAATGTCCATTGGTAGAAAAATGGTTAAATACTCAGTGGTTTATTCCCAGGACAGAATACGACACTGCAGTTTAAACATGGAAACCTCTCCCTTACTGTGGCTTTATAAGGCCTCAGATGAACTCGTAGCTGCTTCTCTGTCTTCTTCCCAGCACTCTCCCGCTTACTCCTCCACTTTAGCCACACTGAATTCTTCCCTCTTCTTTGAGCAACACAGGTATGCCACGGGGCCTTTACACTTGCTGGTCCCTCTACCTAGAATTTTCTTCCTCCTGATATTCACATGGCTTGTTCCCATCTCTCTTTGGGATGCTTGCTCGTATGTTACCTCAGCAGAGAGGCTACCCCTGACCAATTTCTAAAATGTCACCCACAGCCCCACCTCTCTTCGATCTGTCTCTTTATCCAACTTTACTTTCTTCCTAATACTTACATCTCCCTGAAAAATTTTATGTGTATAAATATATAAATGTGTTTTACATATATGTAATGGTCTTTTTTCCTCCTACTGAAATGAAAACTCCAGGAACATTTTCATTTCATTTCTGTCATTGCCCGTTATAATAGAGCATAACATGTAAGGGCGATGACTGTGAAGCTAGACCACTGGGGTTTAAATCTAAGTGCCTGTGTGCCCTTGGGCATGTCTTTTAACCAGTCTGTGCCTCTGTTCTCTCATCTATAAAATAAGGATAAAACAGTACTTACCTCACAGGGCTGTAAAGACTTGTATAAAGCCTGGCACGTGGTACCCACTGTGTAATTACTGGGTATTGTTATCACCAGCACCTAGAGCAGGGCATGGCATGTAAATATTTATTGAATAAGTGAATGTGTTTAAATAAATAAATAAACACACACACATGATGAATTTCTAAGTGCATACTTACGGATTTGAATATAATTCTGGAGGATGCACTCCAAATGCTAACAGTGCTACTAACCCTTGAGAAGGAGCATATGATTTGGCTATATCTGTATCATTTGGGGTTTTGCATGTGCCACATGTAAAACAAAATATGTTTCCAAATACGTTACTCAAACAGAAGCCAGTGCTTAGGCTCAGAAGTATCCCAGTCTGCAGGTGCATGTCACCACGGGTTGAATCAGGGTAATCACCACCGAGGGAGGAAGCGCTGGGTGAGGAGGCTCTGTCTGCTGCCTGCCTGTCTGTCTCTTTCCTTCTCTCTCTCTCTCTCACTTTGTCTCTTGTGCACACAGTGCCTGAGCAGCCAGCAGTCGGCCACAAGCACTGGAGAATGGACTCCATCCGCACACACCCCAGAGGAGTTTCTGAGGAATGGATCCTTGACTTCAGACTGTGAGATCTTTTCCTCCAGGACTCTCCAGAGGCAGGTCCCTGGCAAATGAACTCAAAAAGAAAGAAAAGAAAAGAAAAGAAAAAAAACCCTCCAAAATTTAGGAAAACCAAGCAGCACAGCCAATCAGCCAGAGTCACTGATTTTTTCTTAAAAAAAAAAAAAGGGGGGGGTGAAGGTGGGAAGTCAAGTCTGTCTTTCAGTTTATCCAAAGCCATTGTGTTCTTGTGTCCATTCCTCTTCTCGAGAGATGAGCCTCAGAAAGTCTCATTTCTTTTAACGCGGGCTGAGGTGGAGGTTCCAGATCTGGGAGGAGAGGGAGGTTCTAGGAGGAGCACGGGATGCTGGTGTCTGCAGTGCTGAGCACACCCGGAGCGTGTCTGATGTCGCCGAATACAGCTGAACTTTTGCATTGTTTCCTTTTATGTTTACAGCTGTAGCTTCACTTCAGTCTTCAGTGGCTTCTCCTCCATAAGCCCCCAGAGTTTACCATCCTGTCATCAAAGACACAAATGAAAGGACTTCCTGGTCTTTTGTCTTGGCCTCACTTTTCCTAATGCCCCCCCCCCCGCCGGCTTGCATCCACCATTGGTCATCTTGACCGCAACCTCATTCTTCAAACAGACTCTGAGAATGTACTTAGTGGTCAGTGGTAGGTACACGAGCACTTTTGCCCTCCTAGTTTGGGGAATATACTGGCTGTGTTTATGGGATGTGCTTTTTTTTCAATCTCTCTCTGTCTCTGTGTTTCTCTCTCTCCTCCCCCCATCACTTCTCTTTAGCAAGTCTCAGGCAAGATCTTTGATTTTCCTGATGCCACCTGGAAATGTCACCCTCTGTATTCATTTTCTGCCAAACGTAACCCCCTTAGCTGTGACTGCTCTGGTTTAACAATGCCATTATTCTGCCTGCCAGAACACGCGAGCCCCGTGTGCGAGACCTACCACTGGTGGGACACAGAGGTCTTTTTTTTTTCCTTTGCGGGGGTAGAGGTAATTAGGTTTATTTATTTGTTCATTTTTAGAGGAGGTACAGGGGCTTGAACCCAGGACCTAGTGCATGCTAAGCATGCACTCTGCTACTTGAGCTATACCCTCCTTCCAATGAAGATAATTTTTAAGTCATTTACAGCCACAATATTAAGTGACACTGAATCACAAAGAATGCTTCCCCTTTTCTGTTCTTTTTCAGCCCTGATTACAGCTCGGAGAGTCTCTGTTCCGTGCTCACAGGTCTTTAGCGCCTTTCTGATCCTTTGGCTCTTTTCCCTTCTTATTAAAAAAAGAGGAGTCCTCAGGTTCAAAGTCTTCTGTTTAGATGGAACTTAATAACTTCATGGGTTTTGTTTTTATTCTATTCATTTTATTAGTTACCTTCCATTTGTGGCTCTCCACTTAGGGATGTGCTATATACCTTTTCTGTTCAAACACATTTACTCAAGAAAAGTGAGTGGATTCAAAGAAGGTACCAAGTGGTTAACACAACAGGTGATTGGTATATCTGTCAAAAATAACTTCAAAACTAATATTAGAAATAGTGATAACGAACCTTCCTGAGCAAGAGAAAAGGCAGCTTACTCTACGTGAATGAACAAGAGGCGAAGTCAGAACATCTGAGTTTGCCATGCCTTTTTCTGCCACGAACTAGCAGTGCACGCTGATTTTAGGCAAGTTTCTTCAAGTTTCTTCTGCGCCTCAAACTTCTTCGTCTGGAAAATGGAGATAAGAACACCTGTCTACTTCACTCAGAGTGTCGGTATGAGAATCAATCACCGTAATAGATACGATTGCCCCCGGAGGGAAATTCTAAGTGCTTTACAAGTACGAAGCCTTATTCTTAGATTATTGTGAATCTCAGGCACTTATTAAAAACCCTGGACCCTAGCAAAAAAAAATAAACGTTGATGGACAACAGATTCCACCTGTCATTCCACCCAGATGTCCGTCATGAGCCAGCACTTGTCCCCGGAGGACACTGAGTCAGGGACAGCCGTTTTCAGCACACAGAGATCCTGGCATCATTCCAGTATATCGGATCCTGATTTCTGTTTCTCACGCCTTGTTTTCTGTTTGTTTGTATTTGAGTCCCTAATCTTTTATCCAAATCAAATGAAGTGTTGCTGAGAGGCAGAATAAAAATGGTTTTAAGTAAGCCTGTTTACCACAGCGTGTACATTATGTTTTCTTGGGAATCTCGCAATCTTCTCGTAACTGAAATGAGCTCACTCATCCTAGCCTCAGCTTGTAAGGAAGACCATAGAGCAGCCGGGGTTGGGGCTAGAGAGGGGTCATCTCAAAATAACTTACAGCCTGAAGTGCCCTTCTAGGAGGCATTGAAAATGTTGGTCCCACTAAAGTCACTAAGTGAGAACCCTGGGATGAAGATGGGGGTCTGATTTTTTTCTAGGCCCCCAGGGCCTGGCAGAGAGCTTTAATGTTGACAAAATGAGATGATGGTCTTCTCCAGGGCCTCCTGCAAGGCTGAGGTCGTCCCTGCACCACTCCAGAAAGTACACTTAGAAAGTGGATTGACCAAGTGAATCAGCCGGGGGACTCTTTGAGCAGCCAGTGACAAAAAAATGGCTACAGTAAAATGAGTTTACTTGTTCATATAATTGATAAATTCCAGGGATGGCTTCAGGTATGGCTGGATCTTGGTGCTCAGCATTATTAAGAGCTTTTCCCTATTTCTCAACTTCAACTTCTTGAGAACACTGGTTTCATAGTGGCACAGTGGCTGCCAGCAGCTTCGGATTTCTTCCTACCAGCTAAGCAATGCCTGTGGAAATAAAGTAACTCTTCTGTAGTAGCTACAAGAGAAAAAAAGTTTCATTTTGAAATAATGCGCAATTGATTCAGAGCAGGAACCAAATCATCAGAATGCATGCCAGCCTTTAAGGAAAAAGTGTGGCCACCCTTTCCAGCACAAATTGATGCTGTGGCCAAGGGTGTGTGGTACCCTCTTTGGCTAGAACTGGGTCACAATTCAGCCAGCAGAACTGAGGATGAAGTCATCTCCACGCAAACTTTACGGATTGAGGGTGTGAGAAGGGTGGTTTCCCAAAGGAAAACTAAAGTGTTTTTACCAGAAGGAGAGACAGGTGCTGAGCAGAGAAAAAAACAACCACTGTCTGCGTTAAGCAGGCTGCTGCTTACTGTGCCTGTCACAAGCAGTCTTAAAGTCATTTAATAGCTTTTCAAACAATTTCTCCATTCTGTTGTCACTCTCATCCATTTCCTCATCCAACCAGGATTGACAGAGCACCTGTTCAACCATAGAAACTGTTGGAGATTCCAATAGGATAAAGAGAGACCCCCTAGGAAGTGTTCACAGGCCAGTGGGGAACAGGCGCACATAGAAACAACAGGGAGGGAATGTGAGAGTGCTAAGACAGGCAGGAACAGTGTGATGCAGTCACTGTGCAGGAGGGAGCACTGGCTGGACCCAGGGGGCAAAGCCTCAGAGGTGTCCCTGCCCCCCTGCCTCTGTGCGTTGCTAAGGCTGATAACGGCTACAGCCCTTGAAGTGGCCCTGTCTTTGCCCACAAGTTATGGGCAGAAGCAGATGCAGACATAAAAGCGCTGACCTCAGCTCCTGGATCAGCAGAGTATCTTTGGCTCACACCAGGACAGCTGCATTCAGCAAAACAGCATTATGAATGTATCTTGATACGTAACCCTAGATCTGGGCTTCTAAATATAAGAGACAGTTTGGGGCCACTGATTACATACATATATGTATATTCTAAGACAGCATCCACATTCATTAGTTACTACCGATCCTTAAAAAAATACTCATGGATGTTGAATATTTGAGCCCGGGGAGTTACCCTATAAAAACAGGTCCCTGAACCGAGACACTCTGAATTCTGATTTGACAAATGCAAACATGCCTGATACCCAGGCACCTCGCAAGCATCGTCCCTAGAAACGCCGCAGAAGGAAGGATGCCCTTTGCAGTAGATGCTGACTGGTTATTTGTTCCAATAGAGATTGACTTATCAGGAGTCAGAAGAGGGAAGTACAAAGTTGCCTTTGTGTGTTTTTTTTGTGTCAGGCATCTGGGTCTCATTTTATGTACTGGTTCCAAACTTCAGACAAGCGGCCAGGTCAAATCTGATGATCCAGTCAAAACATTTTCATCTCTCTTCCTGTCCGAGTGCACACTTCCCAGTCCCAGTTCACAGTCTTAGACTTCAAACAAGGACAGTGCTTACAACAGTGCTGGGTACGCAGTAAGTACCCTGCAAGCATTAACTACTATTATTGTTACGGAATCTGCAGCCACTTAAAAAATGAGGGAGCTCAGTATGTGCTGACGTGGAGAGAGACACTGAGGGGGAAAAGTTCCAATGGTGTCAGCTTTTTAGAGGAGAGAAATACAAGCAAATACTTTTCCTGGAAAAAAAATACAATGATAACAAAATGTGCCCCCAAAGAGTATACAAGAAACTCACAACAGGTTATTTTGCGAGAAAAGATATAGGGGTGTAGGGGAAAGGGTGAGGGGAATTTTTTTTAATTCAATACCTCCTACACTACTTGAAGTTTTCACTATGTTCATTCATACTGAAAAATACATGGAGGGAGGGTATAGGTCAGTGGTAGAGCGCATGCTCAGCATGCACAAGGTCCTGGGTTGAATCCCCAGAACTTCCATTTAAAAAATATAGAAAATACAGACGTTTAATTTTTTTGGAAGACTGCGGCAACGTTTCTCATTGCTCTTTATTGCCACCTAGGGGTGGCTAGAGGCATTGCCTGCTGTTATCCTCATTCACTATTTAATAAGAGATCCCACCTTCTTGATTTAGAATCTTAACCAAGTGATTCACAGCCTCCAACCTTCAGATGTTAAATGAGTTTGGTAACAATAAGAAACATGGGTCCATAGCTGTAAAAGTCAGTATGATGCTGAAAAACAAAACAAAAGCAAAACAAAACAAAAAGCCCAGGCTAGTTTGCTCTCCTTCTCTGAATGATCATTCCAGCTTTGTATTTATAATCTTGATGAGCCTGACCCCATATGATCTTACCCCTTACCCAGTGGTCTATCCACAATGCCTACATTTCTACATCAGTCTGGTTGCCTGCATTTGAATACTGGTTCCAGAACTTCCTAGCTGTGTGACCTTGAGCATGACACTTCACCTCTCTGAGCTTCAGTTTCTTCATCCGTAAACTACAAGTGATAACAGCAGTAGGACTGTTGGGGTGGAGGGATTACAAGTTGATCTGTCAAGCACAATGCCAGGCACATAATGGGGCTTGATAAACAATTTTCACTGGTTAATACCTATAGTCTTCAAACCTCAGCTTAACTGCTGCTTCTTCCTGGAAGCCTTCCTTGACCTCCTGGCTAAGTCACATCCCTCTCACTAGGTCACATTTCTTCCTAGCATTTGTCACGGATAACTACTGGATGATTGTTTGCTTAGCATTTCTCTTCCCTTCCAGATCTAAGCACCATGAGCACAGAGCCTGGGTCTGGTTTCTGCCCATCATTCTAACCCCAGTGCCTACCACAGTGCCTGGCAGAGAGTAGTTGTGCCATATGCAATTATTGATAAAGAAATGAATTGATGAAGTTAGACAACTGAAGGCCTCTTAAAAAACTGGTGTTAACTAGAACGAGTGCCATGACTAGGTTCCGATGGGCTGAGTCACATGTGTCATGAGACACAGTGGGAGAACCTGGGGTGGAGGGGGTTACCCTGCAAGATGGTTTGCACGAAGTGACCTGGAAAAAGGGTAGCTGTACACCTCTACCATGTCTCCTAGGACCAACCTTAGCTGTGTTCTTTTTAATTGAGGTGAAATTCACATAACATAAAATAAACCATTTTGAAGTGTACAACTCAGTGACATTTAGCACATTTTCAGTGTCATGCAATCACCATCTATATTGAGTTCCAGAACATTTTCATCCCCAAAAGGAAAACCCTGTACTCATTAAGCAGTCATTCACCATTCCCTCTTCCCTCCGCCCCTGGCAACAACCAAACTGCCTTCTATTTCTACGGTTTTGCCTATTCTGGACATTTTCCATAAATGGAGTCATATATTATGTGGTTTTACTGTGTCTAGCTTCCTGCACTTAGTGTGATGCTTTCAAGGTTTACGCATCTGTAGCATATATCAGTACTGCATTCATTTTGATGGCTGAATAATATTCCACTGCATGGATACACTTAGATACACTACAGTGTGTTTATCCACTTATCTGTTGATGGAGAATTGCTTTATTTCCACCTTCTGGCTATTGTGAATGATGCTGTCTGATCCTGTTTTTCAAGCATCCATGGTATGTCAGATCATGAAGGATAAAATATCACAGTGCCCTGGACCAGACACCAGGGCACAGGGTGCTAACCATGATGGACAACCACTAACTTCTGTGATTCAGCAAGCCCTTTCACCTCCTCAGCTATAATCTAAGAGGTGGTGCCAGGATTTTTGTGCAAGCAGTTTATCTGAAAGATAATTCCGAGTATTTATTTGGGAGATGATCCCAAGAAGTGATAAAGGAAAGAAGGCCAATAGACTCCTTGTACAGTTACAGTCAAGTTACTTTTGTGGGCAGGCAGGGTTCAATTCCATTGGAGACTCTGAGATACTGTGTGGAACACATCTTAGAGTCATCCCACCCAAGGGTCAAGGGAGCTGGGGTATCCATCCACCAACTCCTGTCTGTCACTGGGGGCTGGAGGCTGCTCAAAGGCTGTCCACTCTCTGGCCTCCCCCTTGTGCAGGCCCGGAATGCTCCAGAAGGCTCTCAGAGAGTCACATGTGCTCACAGTAGGAAGCTTTGAGCACGCACAGGAGGATGCATGCAGAGAGGGTGCAGTGATTGTGAACAGTGTATGTTACAGGGATTGTCAAACCCTCATGCGCTGGGAGCTCACATTTTAAAGAGATGAGACAAATCCAGACTTTTTTTTTAATCTTAGTTAAATCTTTGCCCAAAAACTGCCTTAGTTGGTCCGGCATCCTCTTGGCAAGTGGGAAGGGTGGACATCCTTTTCTCCTTCATTCCTTCAAAGCTTCTTGAAAGAGGATGGAATTGATTCAGGGTGAACTTTATTAAGACAGATGTATTATCTCGAGCTGAGCGCTTTTCTCCTTTAAGCTTCAGTTTACTCTGTAACTGAAGTGGAGGGCTTTGTTTTGTTTTTATTTATTTAATGGAGGTACTGGGGACTGAACCCAGGATCTCATGCATGCTAAGCACACACTCTACCATTGAGCTATTACCCTCCCCACTTAAGTTTTTTCTTTTAAAAAAATCTTTTTATTGAAAATAAAACTAAAAAGACAGGAAATAACACAAAAGAAATGTGTAGCTTAGTAAATTATTACAAGGCAAACGCTTTAATAACCACCACCCAGGGCAAATAATAGAATTTTGCTAAATACCCTATAAGTCACAAAGTGAGGCTGGCCAATTATGGTCTCTTCTTGGGGAGTTTTGTATCCTGAGATTTGCACATTTGTATTTTTCTAATTGGCTGAATTCTAAGATTCAGCCCTACCGCCAAACTCTATGAGACTGTAAAATTTACATCAATCATGTGAATCAGATAACATTACTCCCAAATATAAATCCTCCCATGAATTCCCACTGCCTTGGAATAAAATCCAGAATGTTTACTGCGACTAACAAAGCCCGAAAGGATCAAGCTTTTCCCTGCTTCCTGATACACTCCAGCCACAAATTGCCCCTATGTTTCTTTAGCATATGATGTTCATACCTATCCCAGGACCTTTGCACTTGTATTTTCCCGCTGCCTGAAATGCTCCTCCCAATACTCTTCTCCCATCTGACTCATTCTTATCATTGAGGTCTCAGTTCAGTTGTCATCTCCTCAGGGCAGCCCTCCATGACCACCTTATCTAAAGTAGTACCCCTGCCACTCACACAATTCCATATTGTTTCCTTCATAGCAGTAATCATTCTGAAATTACTTGGTTTATTTACTTGTTTGCTTGTTTATATATTTGCCTGCCACCAGGGGCCCTTCAGCTTTGCAAAGGGATAAACATGTCTGTCCTGTTATTCCTTTATCCCCAGCACCCATAATAGCAAAGCCTGGCATATATTGGTTCTCCATAAATATTTGTGGACTGAATACCATAGAATGAACTCATTTTACTTCTGTGCCGATGACTCTCCATCACAACGGCATTTGCATCTCAGTGGGGAGAGAACACAGAGATGTCTAGCGAGAATAGATGGACACATTTGCCAAACACTATCAGTGTTATTTACATCGGTTAGGTAAATTTCAGAAAGCCTGGTGGAAATCCAGGTAAGCCAACTAAAAGCAAGCTTATAATTCTATTTCAACAGCTCACACTCATCAGAGCCTCAGTCAGCTTGGGCTGCCATAAAAAAAGTATCACCGAGTGGGTGGCTTAAACAACAGAAATTTATTTTTCCACAGTTCTGGAGCCTGGAAGTCTGAGATCAAGGTTTTGGCAGGGTTGGGTTTCTGGTGAGAGCTCTCTTCCTGGCTTGCAGATGGCTATTTGGTCCTCACACGGTCTTTCCTCTGAGTGTGCATGGAGAGAAAGACTGAGACAGCAGGAGAGAGAGAAATCTGGTCTCTCTCTCCTTTTAAGAATGCTAATCCTGTCAGATCAGGGCCCCTCCCTTATGACCTCACCTGACCTTAATTACCTCCTAAAGGTTATCCGCTGACCTGGCTTAAGTCCCATCTGGGCTTCCCTAGGACCCCTTGCCTACCTGGATTGCTGCCTTTGTGGGTCTGTTTCCACCTCTATTCTATGGTGGAACCACGTCTTTATTATTATTTTTGTCTTTAAAAATGTTTTTAAATGATAAAAGTAGTACATTCTTGCAGAAGAAAATTTTTCAAGCAGTAAACTAAAAAGTGAAAATCCCCTATCTGTTCCTGTTTCCAATCTGACTCCTCTCCCAAGAGGGAACCACTATTAACAGCATGTTATATCTCTTTCCAGAACTTTCCATTTGCAAGCCTAATGATGCTAAAAAAAAAAATGCTAACGTTTATTGAATGCTTACTAAGAGTCAGGTGCTATGCTGAGCACTTCTCGTGCGTGTTCTCAATTAGTTCACAAAACAAGCCTGTAAGGTAGGTGTTATTTTTATTCCCCACTTCACAAAGGAGGAAACCAGATGACAGCCACTCAGTGGATAAGCCAGAATTTGAACCCAGGCAGGCTGACTTCAGAGCTCATGCTCTTAACCTCTATTGTTGCCGCTTGCTTTTGGGATTTGGAATATCACAGACACTTCTCCATAGTTACCTATATAATTCTATTTCCTCCTTTTAAAAAGTTGCTCAGTACTCTATAAGATGAATGTATTTAATTCATTTAACCATTCTCCTACTGACAGACTTTTTAGGATTTCAGTTTTTCCTTATTTTATAATATCTAAGATTGCAGTAATTGTAAGAAGCATCTTGTTTCAGAGAGATTAAAAAGTGAAATCAAATGTGCACCTTAGAATTAATGTATTATGGCACTAGAAACAATGCTGCAAATGAACATGCTTGCATATAATTTTCATGTGCATATTTCTGTAGAAGTTTCCTCGAAGTTAAAATTGTGGACCAAAATGAAGTTGTATTTTTTATTTTGATAGATACTGCCGAATTCCTTTCCAGGAGACTGTGTCTTAGTCGTGTGTCTCCCATTTACTTTGCACGGTGTCTGGCACTGTGTAGGTATTAAATAAATTTTCAGTGGACAAAATGCATGACCAAGCCCAGCAAATGCAAGGCATTTTGAGATACTCACATACAAACACACAGACACGCACGCACACCACACCACTACCACCAAAAATCATAGCAGTGACTAATAGGTGAGAAGATTAAAATATTTTAGTACCACGCATGTACACTTCCTGCTGAGGCACCGGCCGCAGTAAATGGCAAACGCTATTAAATAAATGCATTTTATGCAGAATGATGTGTTCAAAGTGATTTTTAAATATCTTTCAAAATTACCTATGGAAAGGCTGAGCACTCAATTTTTTGACAATACACCAGTAACTCCTGCAGGGTTTTACAACCCCCAAGCTACTAGATGTGAGAAATTTCCAGAGATCTTATGGTCTGTCATTTTCTCAAACAACCTGCAAGACTGCCTGCATCAGGATCACCTGGAGTGCTTATTAAAATGCAGACCCCACGCCAGAGTTTCAGAATCGTAATTTCTGGGGATTAGGGGCAGGTGAAACCGCATTTTAAACAGGCACTCCAGGTGATTCTCAGGCACTCAAAGGCGTGAGAGCTAGCGCATTAAAGGGCTTTAAGAAAAGCAGTCTCTTAATTAGGTTGCCCTTTAAAACGACCCCTTCGGCAGAAAAGTGTAGAATAAGTGGAAGTGGGCAAAACTATCCAAGCTACCTAACACCATCACTCGTCCCAGCTCTGGGAGAGCAGCCCAGGTGGCCCTCCCGCTTCTGCGCCCCCTGCCGGCCTTCAGCAGCCTAGTCCTAGGCCGGCCGGAGCGGCCGACTGCGACTGCGCGCGCCGAAGCCCGCTGGGGCCGTCCGGGGAGCTTGCGATCGCGTGAACTTAGACCGGAAGCGGAAGTGAGACCGAATTTGCCTCTCGCGCTTCTCCGGCAGCTGGCACCCCGCGCTCCGTGGGCCCCGCGGACTTGCCGAAGTGCCGGAAGCGGAAGTTGGTAAGAAGAGGTGGAGGAGTTGTTGGCAAAGTGTCGGGTGTCTTAGCGCTCAGCGGGTTCGCGCCGCGGCTGCCTGAGCAGGCAAAGCGCGACTGTGAGACCTCGCCAGCCTTGCTGACCCGGCTGAAGCCGAATCCCGGCCCGAAGCCTAGCCTGAGGGGTGTGGTACCCGGCTCTCCGACTCTTTCCTAGGTTCCTGGTGGAGGTCCCGGGAGTCCCGTGTCTCTTCCCTGAAGTGAGGCCCGGTCCGGCTTCCCAGTATCCCCGTAGACCCCAGCCATGGGCAACACGAGCAGCGAGCGTGCAGCGCTGGACCGGCAGGGCGGCCACAAGACGCCCCGAAGAGACAGCTCAGGGGGCTCCAAAGATGGGGACAGGCCCAAGATCCTGATGGACAGCCCCGAGGACGCCGACCTCTTCCACTCCGAGGAAATCAAGGTAACGGAGGTGGGGGACTCCGGTTTCCTTTGACTCATGTTGAGATTTGTTCTCCACCACAAGCCCTCTAATCGTCAGAAGTGGGAGGGAGGTGATACTTAAAAGTCAAATGGCCCTATAAGAGCCCTCCTCGCACCCCAGGAACCTGTGTCTAATTACCAATATGAGAAAGTCACCCTGAGGGAGAAGGAATTCACTTCGTTTAACATCATTAAGGAAAAGGCAGCTCTGGGACAGGTTCAGATTCTTAATTAAGATCATGGAGCTAGCAGTAATTGAGCTCCAGCCTCTGCTTTTCTCTTAGGTATAATTAATTTCACAGCTTTGAGAACTCTTCGTCGTCTTTACATAGAGTGAGGCTTTTTGTAATAGTTTTTCAGTTTACTGTCAGTTTTGGAGGTGAACCAGAACACGTGTACGGTGAAAGTAGAGTTGACTGCAACTCTGGCTGCAGTTGCCTGAGGTCTTAAGTTCTGCCGGAAACTTGCGCTTCACCCTTTAGAGCAGGCGTAGAAAAATAATTTGACTTCTAGAGGTCAGTGGGCAAGTGAAGTGTCAGTCTGAAGGAGCAGCCAGCTGCTTCTCTCCTGTTGTTTAAATGTGACAATATTTTAAGCAGGCCAAAGCAAACATTTGGGCAGGCCACACTTGGGCACCCTGCTTCAGTCTGCAGAAACTCTGAAACGATTCTTGATTCCTATTTCAGCCACTTAACACTCACCACCTATTGTGGTCTGTGTTCCTAGGGGCAGGGCCCAGTCCAAGGAGAGTGATTCTGGCAGCTGATATGTATGTGGTATATCTTAAAAAATGAAATAAAGAACTAACTCCTTAAAGGACTGCACAGCAAAGTAGGTTTAGGAAAGATGACCCTCCCACCCCCTTGTTCTGTCTTGGTATCTGATTGCCTGTTAATCATTGTCCATTAGGCTAATTGCCTGGCACTTCATCCCAGCTGTACTCACTTTTTCTCACGACATTGGGCTGGGTAATCATGTTATTAATCTTAATTCCTCACCTTGGTCTTGCATTTGTGGCTTAACTGTTTATAAAGCGTCTGCTTTTACTTGGCCCTCCAGCCTGTGAGTTCAACTTGTTTTCTGAATTTGTTGCATCCCTGAAGCTGTGTGCCAGGTGAACTTTGGAATCCTGTTTCTCCAGTGACTCGACATCCCTCCCCCCACGGAAAGAATTTTTGTCCCAAGGTCAGCTGTTTAAGACACCCTATGAATCAAACTACTTCAATAAGTATTTGTTGGGTTTTTGCCATTTCAGAATTCTTACAAAAAAAGGTTAAGCATGCAGATGGTCTATGTGGAATGATTTTAAATTCCATTATCATTTCCTCAGGAGTTACTGAAATGATGTAGGAGATATACTGAATTGAATGTCCCATGCAAAAAAAGAAAAGAAAAGAAAAGGCATGGATTCTTTTAGCTACACTGTTAGCTATCACCATTTTGGCTCTGGTTGGTTATTACACCCTCAGTGGAAAGTGATTCCAGTCTGTTATTCTTTAATCTGTAGATCTTGTTAAAGCTCAGAGAAGGCAGGTATCTTTTAAAAGGGCTCATGTCAGTATTTGAAATAAAGGTGCTGGAAGCCTGCTCAAGGCCTTTGAGAGTCTGTCCTAGCCCGAAACTCCTGCTTTTTTTAAAGTTTTTGACTTCTTAAAAAAAATAAGTAAACCTAAAGTCTTTGACTTCTGACTCAGAAAAATGTAAGAAATCCAAAACCCCATATATTACACTGAGGCAGATTTAGACATGTTTATTTCTCTTGTTCCTGAATGCGTCATTTATACAGCACTTCCTACACTAGAAGCTATTGTTTACCTAATGAGAGTCTGTGTCTTATTTAGCTTTCTCCCTAGTGTGTGGACAGCACTAAGTGAATAGTTTTTCCCTTCTTCAGAACCTGGATTTGCCAGTTTTCAACTTGGCAGTTCTGGAATTGTCCCTAATACATTTTCATGTACTTCAAATCTTGCTTAATAAAGGGAGGAAAATGCCATGTATTAAGTCTAGTCTTAAATTCATTGCCTCC